CTAACGTGGTTGTTTCATCTGTGCGTTGCAGAGGGAACCTAAGCCTTCTCCTCATACTGCAAAATAGACAAAGCAAACACAGATCTGAATATGTTTCTGCAAACAAGTCACTATAGAGTGTTTTTTAATATCCTCACAATAATAAATTGGTAACAAACTCAGGTCAGTTTGTGACAACTCCAGATGTGCAAATAATACATCCCCTACCTGTACAGAAAAACGGATTCTTCCCCCCCGCATGAATTATCTGTGGAGCTGTAGATCATCTATCTACTCTGGTTTATGGATGACATATGTCGCATGTACTGTGACTCGAGGGTAACTTTTTGAGTTGGATTTTCTTGCTATACATATTTATTTGCCCTGATAATTTAATTTGGCTTATTTATTTTTCCACCTGAACTGTAAATAACGACATTTTGTGTTGGCCACATGGCCGAACCTGTCTGCCCACTAAATTATGTTAGAAAATAATACTCACAAACAATTCTCCTGTCGATAATGTTGGTAAATTAAAGTTTGCTTCTTTTTCCTTCTTTGACTTCTTAAACTCTGGTCTTTAAGAACTTCTAAGTCTTTTTAAACAATCTACAGTTCAGCATTTCTCTTGAACTTGCTGGACATCAGTCAGTTACACACTTATGAGCTCGTACTTGCTCACCAGTTACATAGAGCTAAGAATGGGTGTTTAGAGTGAGAGTGAAAGCCATTAAACTAATTTTGAAGCTGCTATTTTAAAGTTTAGAAAAGTTTCTGTGATTGTGTTGCTTCGAGTGAAAGTTTAAAAACTAGAATTACCTGTTCTGCACAAATGTATCCTGTGAAAGTCATTTATTATACACTACATTATGTGATTATTATTTGTAATGTACCAGCACACATATTATCTTATTGCTGATAAAAAGTCCTTCACACACAGTTGGGGGAGTTTTTCAGTCCAGTGCTGGGTTGACCTCTGAAGGAGTCACAGGATAAACCTGAGATGATTCATGTCGTAGGAAAGAAGAAAAACAAAGTTGTTATGTACAATTTTGTAATAGATTTAGGTATTTTTCCTCCCCAATAATTTGCTTATCTGTAAAATATTATTACAACTCATCTGTAACTCAAACCATGAGAGAAGTTTGAACCTTATAGTTTCATGAAGATCATTTTTGTCAGGGATCAAAACAATTGCTGTTTTTTTATCTCTAAGAATAGATTCACTCTTTAACTTTCCACAGGACAGAACTATACCTGCAGTTGTAAAAATGTCTGATGATCTCAATGTCAGTGTGTTGCAGCTATAGGCCCTGGCTCTGCTGTAGGATGACTCTGGATGAGTCTTTTTAGGTCATGGCTTCTCCTTCGGGACGATGTTTTCATTAAGCCCCGGAGCTGGCAGCTCCTCGCAGACCTATAAGATCCAGTCCTGCGGTATATGCACACATGCAGACGGAGGCTGGTTGGCTGCGGGCGGACTGACACAATTTCCCCTGCTCCTCCTCCGCCTCCTGCAGCTGTAGCGGCTGCTCGGAGCCTCTGGAGCCAGCAGGTGGTACTCTACCGTCGGCTGTGTCCCGCTGCTGAACGCGATCAGGCGGCTGGATGAGGAGCTGAGGAGGGTCAGAGAGAGAGAGAGGGGGAGCTGTACCAGCACGAAAGACAAAGAGAATAGGGAGGAAGGAGCAGCTGTTGCGTCTCTTCTCTCCGGGATGGACACAACCGGGATCGCGGTCATCCAGGTCAGCCGCTCCGCCTCCTCTTCCGCCGGTCTGTGACTCTCCGGCGGATCCCGGTGACCGGCGGGACGGCGCCGACACTTGGCCGCCTGCAGAAGGCTGTGTGCGGCTGTAGGCTTTAAAATCCTCCGGAGCGCTTCGCCTGCAGCGTCAGGGTGAAACAGCAGCTTCAGTGTGGAGTTAATAGACTCAACAGGGTTTTAAACACCGACATGGGGTGAGTGTGTCTGGGTCAGTGCATTTAATTAGCTGGTCTTTAACAGGAATTCCTGTTAGATTATCTGTTGGGTTAATAATTCAACTTTTTCTTTTGTAGAAGAGAAGACTCAGTCACCTTGTAAGATGTTTCCTCACCACAGAGAAAGGTAAGAACATTTAAAAGATTTTTCTCCTGATATATAATCATGATTATTATCATTATAAGCTTCATTTGTGTAATAATAATACACTTTATCTCTGTAGCACATTGTCAAAACAGTTTCAAGGAAAGCAAACAATAATAATTTAAAAGCAAGATACAGAAATAAAAAAATGTAAGAAAAGAGTTAAAACAGTGTCAAATAAAACGTGATAAAATGATTAAAATAGGCCGTTAGTTACAAACTGCTTCACTAGAGGATCAAACAACAATACAACCCCAATACAATTAAAAGTATATATTTAAAAACTGCAGTATTTCATATGCAACCTACTCCACATTCACCTCACAAAAAGATTTAAATAAAGAGAAACCTGTCTGAAACTTCTCTATTGTAAGAATAGTAATTGTAATAATGCTGCAATGCAGGATGAGGAAAGGATAGGATCAGTCCTCTGATGCACATCTGTAGCAATGTTCTGCTTTCTTCTTCACCTTTGTCTGAGCACAGATTCTTCTGAATCATTGCAGACTTTATGTTAATTAATAGACTTTAATCTGTTAAATTCAGACATTATTATTTTGTGAAACTATCAGAGCTTTTAGATTATTTGATCTATGATCTAGGATGTCAAGTCAAAGCTTCTTTGTATAGCAAGTTTAAAACAACAGCAGTTGCCCAAAGAACTGACCAGGTTTAATAAACGCAATGAAACATCATAAATATATGAGAATTAGAATAATAAAATAAAATCAAGGTCTCAAACTTGGTTAAACACTATATAAGTTACAAGCAGCCACTTGTTTTATCTTAGCACCAGCAGAAGTGGAGCATCTGCACCAATTGAAAGAAATGACACAAGCATCACATCAGAAATCAGGGGGCGACGGGAGGAACTGGGTGAAGCAGATTGTGGATATTGTAGATTGTAGGAATTAGTGGGGTTATTCATCTTGAGGTGCCGTCCAATCACTCTCAGGCTTTGTTAGACTTAAACACCCCCATTAAGCCCTGGAGGCCACATCCATCTGCTGAGGATGAAGGTCGAGCAACATTTACTCACACACACACACACACACACACACACACACACCCACACACAATCAACATGAGTGTCTCAACAACTATTTTCACGCACAGGAAGGAACAAGTGACAGGTACAGATACACAAACACCTAAAGCCAGTTGTTCTCTGTTCCAACATGTGGTCCTGACTGTGTGAAACTCCTAACTCCACCTCGGGGGCTTGATTCCTGGTTGATCATGAGTGTCAGACAGCATACGGATGTGGGCCACTTCAGGCAATGATGCAGCACGTGTGGCCTTCTTGTAAAATAGCAAATGTGACCTGAATATCCCAAAACAAATGTGGGTCTCTTGATAAAGTTGCTGCGCTCTAGGTGAGGTGTAATCTGGATGTGAACCTAAATATGCCCATGTGGTAAATGGTGACTATAGCCCAACTAGCACAAAATAAATGCGGGCCTCCTTTAGTATTTAGTATTGCTGTGGCTTACTTGTGGCCCGGATCTGGCAAACAGGAGCATATCACCCAAGTATGTGGGCCGGGTGACAGTGTGGCAGAGGGACAGTGTCGGCCAAATCTGGGCCAAAAACACTTTTGGCCCCTCTGTATAAACTGTGGCTCATTTATAGTCCCTGATTTCATCAGCTAGTTTCTAAAAGTAATCACTTTGCCAATCAGGCAGAAAAGTAAAAAGTCTACATAACCCAAACATAATGTCAGATTCTTTCATGATGTCAGATGAATTATGTCACTAGAAGGTAAGAGGTAAAATCTCACTCCAGCCTCCAACAGGCTGCTTTTGTCTCAGATCTGCAAATCCACTGACAACAACAGGATTACTTTGAAATGACGAGACTTACAGCGCAAGTTATTATCAGACTGGAGTTCTGGCGAAATGCCACTGTTCATATCAACGTCTTCACGATCACACTGTGTATGTACGAGTCCATATGATGTCCCTTTAGTCACCATCTCCAGACAAGACACAGAGAGACCGTTCTTGGATTTGTGTGTCACTAATGGGGTCAGATATAAATGTACAGGGACTTGCCAAAACCTTAGAGTTCTACTGGGAACAGCTACAGCAATTCACAATACACCATAGAAAAAGAAGAAGAGGAAGAGGAAGTGTCCTGGTTTTTACTGTTTCATATTTTAACGAGTCTTGTTGGCGACGAGTTGGAGACGAGCAGCACAAGTGAAGAAAAGCATCATGTTGAGATATTGAATAGTCTGTTTGTCTTTGTGTGTTGATCTGCACTTTCACTGTTACGCAGAAGCATCACCATTGTACTTATCTGTCTCAGTTTGATGGCGTTTCACAGAGAAGGCCTGCAGTGAACAGCTCTGCTTGTATGTTACTGGATGGTGGGATGGCAAGAGAGAAAGTCCGTCCTGTCTTTCAGATTAACAGCTCATTGAACTTTCTTTAACTTATGGTATTTGGTCGTCAAAGTGACCTTCATCCATCGGTCGGCAATGTCAGTCTGTTGGTCAACGTTCTTTGGTCCAGACTGAAGTATGTTAACATGTATTGAATGTTTATCCGTGATATTTAGTGCAGCTATCCTTTGCTTTTCATAGTGCAGCTTGTTTTCAAATGTTTTCTTGGAGGCTCCCCTTCCAAAGTCAAGGAAAGTATCAGCTATCAGTCACTTACAATGATGAATAAAAAAGCTGATACATTTCTAGTGAAATAAAG